CATATTATTTACTCTTTGGGTATTGGACTTGTTTCTATTTTTTTATTTTATCATTTATTTCTAAATTCATTTCATTATGATCTGATGGAATGCAGGATAGTATCTCTACTTTTTTGTCTTTTCTAAAGTTGCTTTGTGGCATAATATATGGTCTATTTTATAGAAGGATCCATGTGCTCCTGAAAAGAAAGTGTATTAACTTGTTGAAGAATGAAGTATTCTATATATGTCAGTTAAGTCTAAGTTACTGATTGAATTATTGAGCTCTACAGTTTCTTTGTTTTGCTTTTGTTTGATATATCTATTCAGTGGTGAAAGATATGTATTAATGTCCCCCAGAATTATTGTGTTGTGGTCTATTTCACTCATAAAATTGAGAAGAGTTTGTTTGATGCACATAGATGTTCCATTGTTTGGGGCATATATATTTATAATTTTTAGTTCTTGTTAATATATGGTTCCCTTAAGCAGTATATAATATCCTTCTTTAAACCTTTTGATTAACTATGTCTTGAAGTCTGCTTTATTTGATATGAGGATGGAAACCCCTGCTTGTTTCTGTAGTCTATACGAGTGGTATGATTTTTCCCAATCTTTCAGCTTCCATCTATGGATGTCTTTTCCTATCTAATGAATCTCTTGAGGGCAGGATTTTGTTGGGTCTTTTTTTAAAAAAATCCAATCTGCAAGTCTATGTCTTTTAATTGATGAGTTCAAGCCATTAATATCCAGGGTTATTATTGAGACATTATTTGTATTCCTGGGTATTTTTGTTTACTTTTGGTTTTTAACTTGACTTGGTTTCTCCTTTGATTGATTTTCCCTCTAGTGTAGTACCTGCCTTTGCTGATTTTCATTGTTGTTTTTCATTTCCTCCCTATGGAATATTTTGCTGAGGATGTTCTGTAGTTCAGGCTTCCAAGTTGTAAATTCTTTTTGCTTTGGTTTATCATGGAAGGTCATTATTTCATCATCGAATATGAAGCTTAATTTTGCTGTATAGAAGATTCTTGATTGGCATCCATTTTCCTTCAGAGCTTGATATATGTTATGTCAGCATCTTTTAGCTTTCAGGGTCTGGGTTGAAAAATCTGCAGAGATCCTTATTGGTTTCCCCCTATATGTTATCTGATTCTTTTCTCTGTGGCTTTTAAAATTCTCTCCTTATTCTGTATGTTATGCATTTTCATTATAGTATGCCTTGGTGTAGGTCTGTTGTGATTTTGTACATTTGATGTCCTGTAAGCCTCTTGTATTTGATTTTCCAATTCATTCTTTATGTTTGGAATATTTTCTGATATTTTTTCATTGAATCAATTGTTTATTTTTTATTTTTTTATTTTTTGGTTTGTAACTCTATACCTTCCTCTATCCTAATAATTCTTAAATTTGGTCTTTTTATGTTATTCCATGATTATGAAATATTCTACTCATGATTTTTTTACCATCTTCACTGTGTGGTCAACTTAATTTTCTGAATTAAATATTTTGTCTTCATTGTCTGAAGTTCTGTCTTCCAAGTGATCTGAAATATTGGTGGTGCTTTCTATTGAGTTTTTAATTTAGTTTATTATGTCTTTCATTTCAAGAATTTCTGTTTGTTTGGTGTTTTTTTTTTTCAGAGCCTCTATCTCTTTATTGAAGTATTCTTTTACTTCCCATACTTGCTTATGTAGCTCTTTATCAAAATGATTGTTTGCTGCCTGCATTTGTTCTCTTATATCATCTTTTTAATTCACAGAACATTTTAATTATGTACATCTTGAACTCGTTCTCTGTAATTTCTTTTGTTGTACTGGCCATGGATTCTAATCATGTTGTATCTTGGTTTGTTTGGGGCACATTCTTCCCTTGTTGTTTTTTTTTTTTTTTTCATGTGTCTTCCCTTCTAACACTGAAGATCCAAGCTGTTACAGTTTTTACCCTATAGGATTATAGTGTCCCTGCAGGGTTCTAATACCTCTCCTTGATATTGCTACTAGATCCCAGCCAATGTCCAATGCTGAGAGTTGCCCCAACTAAAAATGGTGACAAAGGTGTCATAAGATGGAGGCAGCTGCTTTCAGAGATGGGGTGTCAGGTCACATTGGGCTGGGTGGCGGCATTGGGTGGCATGTTCAGAGATACACCTCTATGGCATGCAGTTTTGTGGCTGGTGGCTCTCTCCAGACCCTGACCAGTGTTCCCCGGTGCAGGCACCTGCAGGTGTGGGACGATGGCAGTGCTTGCAGTGTCCCAAGATGGAGGCAAACAGGGGAGCCTCATACTGGTAGATGGGGGTCCACATGGAAGTGGCAGCTGGGTGTCCTATGTGGGAGCAGCAGCCAGGATTTCTACATGGGTAGGAGGTGAGGGGTCCTGTATGGGTACTGATGCTTGTGGTCCTGCTCGGGCATATCAGCTGGAGTTCTTGCATGGTTGAGTGGCTGAGAGTCCTGTGCTGACACTGAGGCCTAGGGACCTGCACTGGAACAGCAGCCAGGATTCCTAAGCAGGAGCAGCTGTAAAGATCCTCCAATAAACTACAGAGAAACAGTATTTCCACTACTTGAATCTCAGGTCACAGAGCAACACAGATTGTAGCCGTCTTCTAGACAGCCATCTTGGATGTGATTGGAAATATGGTTATATTCTATGGAAATTATTGCATATGGGACTCAAGCTACTGTATTTTTCTTTTAAGAGTATGGTCTTATGAACATTAAATGATGACTTTTTGCATCACTTCCTATCTATTATCCCTAGTGAGTTCAGAAACTCAATCTGTCATTTAGTGCGGTGAAAAGAGATATGTTTAGTATTAGGCACCAGGTCTATATCTATGAGAATATGTTTGCCAGTGCTGAGAGAGAGAAATGGGGTGGGGCAACTACTGGCATTTTAATCAAAATTTTCATGATGATATGGAACAATTTGAGGGTGATGGACATCTTGACCACACCACCTTCCAATCTTTGCTCCATTTTAAAAATTTTATCATTTTATTTTCTTAATTGTTTTTATTAATGCAATATAGGTAGCAATAATAGTGGGATTCATTTCAGCATACATACATGAGACATATGTTTTCCATCTTTTCCCCCAGTACTTCCTCTTTCACTTCCTTCCTCCCTTCTCCTGTTTCCCTCCCTCTACTCTACTGGTTTTCCTTCTATTCATTTGTTACTTCTTAAATTGGTGCTTTTAGATATATGTAAAGGTGGGGTTCACTGTGTTATATTCACATTTGCACATTACATATTTGGTCAATTTCGTTCCCAGTTCCTTCCTCCTGACCCTACTGCCTCCCCTTCAATCTCCTTCCCCTACTTCACTGATCTCCCTTCTATTTTCATAGGATTCCCTACTTTACCCCTTATTTCACTCTATTGATTTTCTGAATCTAATTTACTTGGTTTTACATGATGATCTCCAATGCTATTCAGTTATGAGCAAATGCCAAAATGGTTCTTCTTTATGACTTAGTAAGACTCCATTGTGAAATATACCACATTTTTCTTTATCCTTACATCTGTTGAGAGACTCCTGGCCTGGTTCCATAGCTTGGGTACTAAGAATCACACTGCTATAAACATTAATGTGCCTGTATCTGGACAGTATGATAATTTTAGTTCTTTTGGATAAATACCTTGAAGTAGGATGGCAGAGTCATTTGCTGGCTTTATTTCTAGTCTTTGGAGAACCGCCATACTGATTTCCAGAGTTATACTAATTTGTTGTACTAATTTGTACTAATGTGTACTACTAATTTGTACTAATTTACTTTCCGGAGTTGTACTAATTTGCAGTCGTACCAACAATGCATGAATGTACCTCTTCCACCACATCGTCATCAGCATTTATTGTTATTTGTATTCTTTTTTTTTAACAAAATAGTAATTATTTATATTTTCAAAAAGAAAAAAAATAACATTTGGAAGTTCTCCCCTGTAGGAAGAGGGCTAAGAAGGAGGAACAGGACTGGCTCCTATGCAGGTGGCAAGTCAGGTACAAACAGCTGAGCAATCTGTGCTGGGACTTTTTTCACACAGCATTAATAATAAAATTTCCTTTATTCTTCTCTTCTTTTTGTTTTTTTTTGTTTTGTGTGTTTTCAGATTTCTTGTGTTTTTGTTTTTGTTTTTTAGAAAAAAGGGAGGGGGAAGGGAAGAGAAATAAAATCAGAGAAAAATGCCAGAAAACATTTTCCACAATATCTAAAAACAGAGAACCATAGTTCTTGTCAAGACAGCATGAATTCTGGATGAATTTTTTTTTCCAGTTTTCAACACCAATAAAGATTTTTGCAAAAGCCACTATTATCAGAACACTTATCTTCCAGATCAAATAACCTCTTCCCCTTTTGCCTTTGCTTGTCACTTTCATAAGAGGATAAAAGGATGTATTCCGTTCTTGCAAACAATAAGTGCTAACAAGAGAGCTCTTCTGATACTTGTGTGGTGGTGAGGAGTTTTCACAAACATCCAAGCTTCAGCACAGTTGGAAGGACTAAAATTTGCTTCTCTCAACATAAATACTATTAGAATTCACAAACTGATTTTGAAAAATTCTGCAAAAACTCTTCTTTCCTTTTCCCTTCTCTTAAAACTAAATCTCCTTTTTTTTCCTTTCTTCTTTTTCCTTTTTGCTCCAGGCACTTGACAATTTGTTCTGCTCAGTCAGATGCAGACAGGTTTCTCCAAAGTACCACGACTGGGATGTGCTCAGGGCCAGCACCTAAACTGAATCCCAGAGTCAGACTTGGTCAAGCCAAAGGGAACAGGGTGACGCAGCAACAGGGTTTTCATTAGGTTAAGTAGCCCGAGTCCTGGGCCTTTCCCTCACCCCCCCTCACGCTTCCCCAAGTTATTTAGTGCTGTTTCAAAAGTCTGGGGCCATGATGCAGTCTCTTCCCCACAACAGAGTAAAGCTCCACAGATTGCGCTGTCTACCTGGTGGTCAGTGGCAGCAACAGGGGCTGCTACTTCTGGAAAATCCGGAGTCCTGCAAAAGGCAGGATCTTAGGATTGCTTCAGGCGTTTGTGCAGGATGGGGGGGGGCAGTCCCAGGACAGGGCACTGTGCTGAAGCCAGAGAGCGATATGCTTCAGCCACCAAGTGGGGATGTGACACTACCACTGACTTCCATCCAGAGGTCTCCAAGACATCTGAAGCATGATAGTTGATGAAATCCACTGCCTGAGTTTTCAACTGATCTGCGCTGTGGAGGTCAGCCAGGATGAGAATTTCTGCAGCATTCTCCACAGAGAGGTTACTGCAGAGGGCATCCTCACACATGACCTTCAAACGCTCCAGGGCATACTTGTCAGCAGCTGCCAGCAGATCATCAGCCATTTTGTCGAGATTTGGAGCCTTCCCCGTGTAAATGAAGCACATCATCTCCTTAAAAACTTCAGGCTCCACGTCATTGATTTCAACCCGATTCTTTTTGCTCTCCTCCATTTCATGTTCAAACATGGCACTAAAAACTGGAGAACATGCTGCTAAGATAGCTCTGTGAGCCTGGAACTCTTGGCCAGAAACACACAGGCAGCAGTCTGTGAACCGGGAATTCTCCCACAGCCCTCCTAATTCATCTGCCAACCGGCATTCAGGAACCTTCACCATATTCATGGTATTCTGGCCAGAAATGTTTAAGGAATCTTGTACCACACTCACCTCACAAAAGAGGGTAAGCTTGTCATCAGGGAGAAGCCCATTAGCCTCATCCAAAAGAAAATCTCTACGGATGAATTTTTTGAATCCCCAGTCCTTGCCTTGCACAAACCTATAAGCTCGTTGACTCTCCATAGCTTTGGTTTCTTCTCCCTTAGCATTCAGGATGGAGAATTTGAATTTTGCCCGAACTTCACTCTTTGGACAGCTGACCAGTAACAGGTAAAGTGACAGGTAATCTTTGCTTTCTTCATCTAGCCCTTTTGGGTTTACTCGCAAACACCATTTCAGTTTATCATTGGCTCCTGATGAAAAGGTTGAACTTTTAATGACTTCACCCATTTCTTCCCGGCAAAAGCTAAAGTTATTAATGGTCCACATGTAGGAGAATTTCACTACCTTGATCTGAGTGTAGCACCAGCTCTCAGCTACAGGGCCACTCGACATTTCTGCCGGAGGTGGAGGACTTGGAACCCTTGACATCGCCAGTTTGAAGGTTAAACAAGGTTTCCAAAGTCAGGGAACAAAGATTTCTGTTCTTTCTTCACTACACTGAGATGAAAGGGCTCCCACAGGCCAAATATGAAACATCTTGTGCATCACAAAGATTATAATTGTTGGTAGAACACAATGAATTAAAAGCCATGAGTTCATGATGATACTGATAGCGGCGGCGACAGCTGCTGGTCCCTGTCCCCCTGCGCTCGCCTCATACTGTCCGCAACATCTGGGACCTGCAGGACCGCCGATGCACAAATACACACACTCCGAGTGCGCACACTCACACACACACCACACACACACCACACACACACACACACACACACACCGACACACCGTTATTTGTATTCTTGATGATTGTCATTTTAACTGGAATCATATGATGTCTCAGTGTAGTTTTCATTATAATTTCCCTGATTGCTAAGATTGTTAAACATTTTTTTCCTATAATTGTTGGCTATTTTTATTTTGATTTCTTCTTTTGATAAATATCTGCTTAGTTTTTTGCCAGTTTTTAATTGCAGGGTTTTTTTTTTTTTTTTTTTTTTTTGTATGTGTGTTTCCTTTTTATATATCTTTATATATTCTGGATATTATTCTCCCATTGGTGAATAACTGTCAAAGATCTTCTTTCATTCTTACTTTGCTGTGTGGAAGCATTTTTTTCAAATTTTATGCTGTTATCTTACCAATTTTCAGTTTTGTTTCTTGAGCTTTAGAAATGTTATTGAAGAAGTGGTTGGCTTTGCCAATATGTTGGGTGGTTTATGCTATGCTTTCTTCTAGAAGTTGCAAAATTTCTGATCTAATTCCTAGGTCTTTGAAACACTTTTAGTTGACTTCTGTAGAGGGTGAGAGATAGCAATCTATGCTTTTTCTTTTCATATGGTTATTTAGTTTTCCCAGCACAATTGGTTAAAAAATGTTTTCTTCAATGTATGTTTTTGGAATCTTTGTCAAGTATCATATATCTGTATCCATGTGGGTTGCTTTTGTGTCTTCTACTCTATTCTATTGTTCATCACTTCTGTTTTTATGCTAATATCACTCTTTTTTTGTTACTACAGATCTGTAGTATAATCAGAGATCAAGTATTGTGCTGTCTCCAATATTTCTCTTCTTGCTTAAATTTGCTTCAGCTATGTTTTCATCTTTAGTTTCTCTCAGTAAGTTTTATACTTTTGTATACATTGTTTATACATATATCAGTAAATTCATCTCCAAGCATGTCATTTTTTCCTTTGATAAAAATAATACTATTGACTTAAATTTTGTGTTTCTTGTTGCTCAATATGGTTATAAAGCAATGAACCTGATTTTCGTATATGGCCTTGTGTCCTGCACAAGCTGGGATCATGATGATAATGGTGACTAGAAGCAATAGTGATCTTTCCTTTTCCATGTGCTAATGGAAAAATATCTAGCTGTATAATATTAAATTATTATATTACATAATATTATATTATATTATATATTGTGTTTTATATTATAGTATACATCATATTATACCATATATGTTTTATATTACATTATATATTATTTATTATAATACTATATTTTATTATTAAATGTGTGCTTAGGTGTAATTTTGAGGGGTGGCATAGATATCCTGTATTTGGGGGCATTTTGAATGGTCTTAATATATTCCTATGTTCATGGGACTTTGCTGGGAGCCATTAGCCAAGTAGGTATGACAATTTCCTTGCCAGTGTACCCCATGTTGCTTAGTGGAAGGACTCGTGGAAATAGAACATTTTGCAGTGACATTGCATGTAGGTGACCTTGCTCAAGGACCAGGGCAGATCTGGGTTTAGGGCGTTCCTGGTTTAGGTTCCAGGTTTAAGGTTATTCCTGCTGGGAATAGGGCCTATCCTGCTGCCTGAGTTCCCCTTGAGTTCTCACGGGATTCAGACAGTATTTTTTGGGAGACAGAAGCCCAGTGGGGGTGGATTTGGGCAGAGAATGTGGATTTCCCCAGAACGTGATTGTAGACGGCTGGTGTGAGTTCGGAGTAAAGAGTTGCTGTTTGAATCTACAAGCTGTGTGGTGGCTCGTGATTTTGTGCCCAGCCAGACTGCGGCAGGACTTCTTTCTATAAATTTGATGAATTTATTCCAGGCCCATGGGCTTAGCTCTTTTAATTGGCTATTAATTGGCTATCTTTTTCAACTGGCATTTAAATTCTCTTGGAATTTTCACATATGTTAAGGGAGTGTAAATCAATTAACAGTGTGAGATTACCTCTTATGAGTTAGAGTAGCTATTATCAAAAAAGCAAATTACAGATGCTAGTACAGATGTGGAGAAAGGGGATTTCATTAGCATTATAGGTGGGAATACAAATTACTGAGATGTTATGGACAAAAGTACATGGATCTTCCTAAAAATGTAAGAACAGAACTACTGTGCAAGCAGCAATCCCATTGCTGGGTATATATCCAGGGAAAATCAAATCATTATATCTAAGACACATCTGAACTCACATTTATTTTTGGTAATTTTTTTATTGTAAAAATTTGAATTCATTAATAAGACATTATTTCCCTATGTACATGAATTACAATAAGATCAGTGGGGTTGGATTCTACATCATGTAAAACCAGAAGAATGAGAAATTATACTTCATCTATGTATGATGTGTCAAAGTACATTATACTGTCATGTAGAACTAATTACAAAAAATTTTAGAAAGTAAGAATAGGAATTTTTAAGGAGAATATGATAAAAGATTAAGAAAAAATTTAAATTAAAAGTTAAATATTCAGCTTCATAATAAAAACGAAAGTTTGTATGAGTAAAGATACTTTAAAAATTTGAGTCCATTATATTTCTATGCATGCAACAAATAAAATGTCTTAGATTTCATATACTACGTGTGCCTTATTGATCTATTAATAAACACTTAAACTTTGTTTTCTTATACATATATCACATTGGTTAAGATAGCTTACAAATATCTACAATGAATATCTATAATAAATATATACAATTAAATTAATAATAATAAAATAGAAAAACATCTCTCTCTCTCTCTCTCTCTCTCTCTCTATATATATATATATATATATATATATATATATATATATATATATATTACAATTTCCTTTCCTTCTAGGGACCTGTATTAATGGAGTGAAAAAGGAGAACTATATATAAAAAGCTGGGTTTGATAAATAATCTGAGCTCAGTTCACAATGTGAAATAGTTTACTATGCTAACCCCTGATATTATGGGTTAAAGGAGGTTGAAGACCTAACTTTTCAGTATCTGTAAATGAGACCTTATTGAAAATAAGGTCTTTTCAGGTGATCAAGTTAAAATGAGGACATTAAAGTGTACCCTCTTCCAATATGATTAATGTTCTCCTAAAAAGGAGATTTGGGGACAGAAGGGTAAATATAAGGATACAGGGAGAACACCATCTGCAAGTCACAAAACACCCCAGAAATTAAGGGAAAGACTGTAACAAAGATTCCCTCACAATTCTTGGAACAGTGATCCTTGGAATGTTAGGTTTGCATTTTCAGCCTTCAAAACCACACAGTGATATATTTTTTCTGGTTGAAAACATGAGTTCTATGGTACCTGGTTACAATATATCCAGGAAACTATGATATCTGAGATGACAATTTGGGCACTAGCAGTTTGAAATGCTTTTAGAGTGAAAGTAACAAACTGTCTAAATGCTAGTAGTTTCCTTTTTTTTACTTAAAAATATTTTTAGAAGACAGTAGTAACTCAGTGCTGTCTATCAAGTCATTGAAGAATTCATGGTAAAGATACCTCAGTCTATCTCTGTTGTTCTTCTTATGGGGAAGGCCACCCCTGGTGTGGATGAGACACTAAGGATCTAGCCATTTTAGCAGAAGGAAAGGAGAAATACATAAAGAAAATTTCCTCTATCAAATCACACTCACATCTTTCCAAATGTTCATGTTTTCTCAGAAGCTGTAAGAAGGCATATGATCACTCCTTATCTGTAATTAAGGAGAACACAAAAATAAATATTATAATACTACAGTCTCTAAAAGGAAGCCAGGCCAAGGAAAAGTAGTTTAGAAATAATTTGTATATCCCACCATAATGTATACCAAATGGGCTTATACAGTGGGTGTGTCATGTTTAGCCATTCACTGAGCACCAGCCTAAAGCAACTGTTTTGTGGGACAGCAACATGCATTTTCTTTCATAAAGGAGAAAACATTGAATCTGGACAAGCATGTCCATGAGGTGAATAATAGCAAGCAACAAACAACCTGTTATGGTTTAAATAAGAGGTGTCACCCAAAACTCATGTGTGAGACAGGGCAAGAATTATACAGAGGTGGAATGGTTGGAAGTGAAAGTTGTAATTTAATCAGTGGATTAATCCATTGATATGGATTAGATTACAACTCTCACAGTCCAACTACTGCACCTCTGAGTGGTAACTGCAGCCAGGTGGGGAGATGCTGGAGGAGGTGGATCACTAGGGGTGTTCCTTTGGAGCTTACATTTTGTGTCAATTGAATGGAGCCATCTCTCTGTTCCCTGCTCCCATGTCCTGAGCTGCTTTTCTCAGCCATGCCTTCCAGGGTGTTGTTCTGCTGTACCTCAGACTCAGAGCTATGGAGTCAGCCATCTATGGACTGATACCCCTGAAACTGTGATCCAGTTTCCTTCTATAACTTGTTCTTATATGGTCTTTTGGTCACAGTGACAAAGAAAATAGTTGATGAAAACCTAAACCACTGAGGTTTTCAAATTCCTTTTTTGGTTTCTTGTATCCGCACTTGCATGCTTACTTGTAAATGATCCACGAAGGACATCAGAACAACAGGTGCTATTTTTTTTGTACAGGTTAGGAAAGAGCAAGAATTTATTAATATTATCTATGCAGAAATACAAATGTATAGGGAGGGGGAACCTGGGAGGAATATACGAACTCTAGATAGGGCAGAGGGGTTGGAGGGGAAGGGAGGGGCATGGGGTTATAAATGATGGTGAAATGTGATGATCATTATTACCCAAAGTACATGTATGAAGACATGAATTGGTGTGAA